TCAGTTTACTTAACTGTGCACAAATATCTGAGTGTTTTAAAGATGTTACTTTCATCAAATACTTTTTTCCATCTTGAATGAGATTTATTAGTCACACTGATACCGACTTGTTCTTAATCTGAAAAGATGTTCTGAAATATCAATAAGAATATCTTCTTAGAAAAAAATAAAATAAACTGAGAAATGAAATGAAATGAAATTATTGTGGAGATATATAGTCGAAATATCCAAAAGAAGCGTTTTAAAACCAATTGCAGATTAGAAATCTTTTAGTGCATTCTTTCTGTTTAGCTCTAAACAGTCTAATTTTTACTCGTACAGATAAGTTCGTTCATATATTGTGTATAGTATCCGAATAGGAAAAAAACTCATTGTTTGAAAATGATAGTGATCATGATATTCAAATTTTTGTGATATTTAATTTTAAAACTAGTATGTAGAATTTGAATCAGTGTCCAAAAATTATTTCGAGTCTTTGTCTAACTTAGCTTTTTATCGAAAAATATTCATGCCCTGTATGTTCTCAAAAGGATTCGAAAATAAAAGGTTGGTCTACACTATATAACTTGCTTTGTTTTATTTCTTTTATTCAAGTCAATTATCGTTGTCAATGTTTGATACAGAACTAAACTGAGAAAAAACACAGAAACAGCGTATGCTTTAACATGTATACAAGAAGATGATAAAAATCATTAGCTGAATGACATTCGAAGAGCAGCATCCATCTTTTCGTAATTCTGATCCTATATTTTGTCAATAGAAATGGCAACTCTGGAATTTAAGATAAACTTTGTCTAATGATCTGAATGACTGCATGTTTTGTCATCGTTTGAATAAAAATTAACAGATGAAAAAATATTTCGTACTGTATAAGAAACAAAAATTTATACTGAAACATTTTTTAAGAGCATTTTTTTGAGTCTTTTTTAAAATAGAAACACTGATTATAACCCTGTCTATTAAAAAAATATTTGGAAAGCAAGTGTCTTTATTTGAATAAACTGTGCATCTGTAGAAGAATTTATGAAACTCTCAAAGATGTTCTTTACTTGAAACAAAATCATTACATGAAAGTATTTTTTTCCTATATGATAGATATCTTTTTTGATCCAGATCATTTTTTTATGCATATTCATACCTGTATATTAAACCAAACATGTGTCTCTATTTTTTTTCTCTATTCGATTCTGTATTAAAGATTGATAGAACCTGTAGACATTAACGAAAGAAATAAAAGAAAACAAAAAACTTATATAAGTCAGAAGTTTTGTTTTATAATCGTTTTGAAAAAGAAGAAATGGAGTTTTTTAGTTAGAAAAAGCTAAACTGAACAAACATTTAAATTTATATTCATAGATTAATTGAAAAATCATATTTATGAGCTTTCAAATGAAAATCTTTCGTGTATTAATATGTCTAAGTCACTGATTTTGACTTGTATCTTTTTTTTTGAAAGAATTTATCAGGGATGCAGAATCTATCTGTGTGTGCCGACTGTCGTCGGGGGAAATTTTTCAAATTTTTTAGCAGTTGGAGAAATTTTCGAAATGAATCTTGATTCACCTGTACAAATACCACTAAGACTAAGTAATGGTCGTTTTTTTTCTTCCTATTAAACTTTGGAAAATCTTCATTCAGTATTTTTAAACATATTGGACAACAGACGGGTGAAGCTCAATCATAAAAATTTTGAAGTTTAAATATAAGTATACAATTACTTTTTTCAATAAGTTCTATGGATGGAAGTTCACTCAATCATTATTTTAGCCATACAAGAGATTAAAATGGTTATTTTACAAAAAAAGTTAACAATATCACGTTTAGAAACTCATTTCTTCTGCTTCAGTTGTTTACGATATGTAAAATTAGCAAGATGACTTGAGCCGAATGGTATTGAAAAATAGTATTTTTTTCTAAATCTGAATTTCCAATTTTAGTAAACAGTAGTAGCTTTTTCGACTAAATATTCTCACCTAGAAAAGTTGGTATTTAACCTACGTGTAAAAAGTCTTTGCGCAAAATAAATCTTCAATTTTTTTTCACTTATTGATTGGAAGAGACAATGACAAGTAGTTAGTTCGAATGAGAACTTCATGTTCTTTCTAAATATATATTCAGAATTTTTTTAACTTAAAATTGATTCGGTAGGAGGAAATTCTCGAAAGGGACCAAAGACCACGTCTGTACAAAATAACAGTTTGATTGGTCCAAGTATCAATGTTCGATTAGTTCTCGAACATTTAAATATAATTGAAAGAGATCAAAATTAGTTAGGTGGAACCAGAATTCGATATTCTTAAAATGTATTGTTCGAACCTGACACTGAATTCCATTGGTTAGTTATAAACAAAAAACTAAATCAATAAAAAGTCTTGTTTATGTTATAGAACATAAGTTTTTTTCTATAATGTACAATATCTTGAAAAATATTTTGAAATAGTTTTTCTTATCTAGTTTTATAGAGAAGTTCAGGCTATACAAAACTAGGGATTTCAACGAATTGTGTTTCAAAACAGTTAAAATTTTAAAAAAGTTTTCCCAATATTATTCTGTAATTGAGATATCATTTTTCAAGAAAATCAGTTTTTGAGAATTTTGATAATTACCATACAATAGATTCCAATGATTTTTAGCAATGTATGAAAAACGCAGCAAAGAATTAATTTTGTAGAGGAAGCTTCGTTCTACAAATTACTGTATAAAAAGAGTTTTTTACAATCAAAATTCAGACACTTTTAATTAATGTACAAAAATTCACTACGCATAAAATTCTGTACAAACGTCACCTTTGCTCTGCTTCCAAAATTGGCTCCTATCCAATCAAGTTTGACTCGAAAAAAATTCTAAATATATATTTAGAAAGAGCATGAAATTTTCATTTTAACTGACTACTTTTCATTGTTCCTTGCAGCTAATAAATGAAAGACAAGTGAAGATGCATTTTGTGCAAAGACTTTTTACACATAGGTTAGTCGACTCTCATAAGTGGGGAAGTTTTCTAGAAAAAATTTACCGGCAGATTCTACACCTCTGCAATTCATATATATCAATATAATTGCTTTTATTATAAATTCTGTAACATCATCATGATCATCGTTTCAACAATATTTTGTTTTTCTTCGTTCCCTATTAAGCTATATATATAATATATGAACGCATCCGCCCAGGAAAAAAAATGGAACAAAACCGCGGTTAACCGCATTTTTTTAAACCGCGTTGTAAGTAAACCGCGGTAAGCGGCTTAATCGCCGCGTCATGGAAGATCGTGTTCAGTCGCGGTTTCATAAATCGCGATGGACCTAACATACCTTTAACTCATTCTTATTATTGTCATATATAATCTTTGATTTAGATGATGACTTCCATCAATCTTCAATCTCGTTGCATAAGACGAATAGATGCAAAACATCTCGCTAATGCTTTAACCAATAATGAAGTATATTTTTAGATTTGTTTTAATTTTCTTATATAACTATTCTCTATGTGACTTAGAAAATCAAATCGTTAAATCTTAAGCTCAGCGAAGTCTCGGATCCAATTTTAAAACATTTTGTGAATGTTTTGAAAAATGATGAAGTATTTATATACTCGTTTTGTCATTAATATGTCTATATTACCTAGAAAATTGTGTCATTGCATCTTGATAATAATCGAATCACCGATCAAGGTGCTAAATATATTGCAGATATACTAAGAACGAATAATGTAATGAGTTTATTCTACATCTAAAACATGTTTGTACTCTAATTGCTTGTAGACACTCAAAACATTAAGTATTCGCTCAAATAATATAACCTATGTTGGAGCTAAATCTATTGCTGATGCATTATCACATAACATAGTAATTCTTGTTCAATTTATGTATAATTTATATATATTATTTCTTTCATATATAGGTATTAGTGGAACTGGATCTTTCCAATAATAAAATAAATAATGATGGTCTTGAGTCGTTCATTGCCATATTACGAAAACATACGGTTCGGTATCATTTCTGACGAATTTTCTTGAGATATCTGAAATTTTTTTCATGTAGTCCATCAAAGAAGTCGACTTTTCTGGTAACCCGGCTTCTCTCTACTTGATATTATTAGCTAGTATTGTAATGCCACAAATAAGAGTAACCTATCTACGTAAAATGTTTCATATCGATTTTAAACATTTTTTCTTGTAGTCTGAAATCAATGTGATACTAGAATCAAAATGCATTGAATCGGAAAAAGCTCGGTATTTAGCTGAAGCACTTGTTCTACCTGAGGTTATTTACTTTTTTCTACGATGAATTCTATGTTATAAATTGTATTCATTCATATAGTCGCTCACCGTACTTGATCTTGATAACTATCGATTGAAGGATGATAATATACGATGCATTGCTAACGCATTAACTAATAGCAAGGTGAAATGATTTTGAATTTATATGTTGCTACTGTTTGTTTTTCTTTTGTTAAGAGGCTAACTGTACTTCAACTTCAGAGAAATTACATCGGTCCTATTGGCGTAAAATATTTAGTTTCTGTGCTACATAATATACCGGTAAAAGATTTGGCCTTCTCTAATTTGATATCTACGTATTGTCTTTATAGGTAATTCATGAATTGTATCTTTCTTATAATTGAATTGGTGATGAAGGTGCAAAATATATTGCTAGTTTACTTCAAACGAATACTGTAAATATGATTCTTTTCTCTTCTGACATTGATCCAATTGACTCTAACATAGACACTAACTGTGGTTATGATTGCTCGAAACGATATTGGGAACAATGGTGCACAATTGCTTATTGATGCTTTGATGAATAATACGGTACTACTTGGATACTCTATGTTGAATTTGTATATAGATTCATTGGTAGACACTGAAAAAATTTGACATGACTGGGAATAAAACCGATAGATGCGCAATCTTAGAAGCAATTGTTGATAAGCGGTCTAATACAGTAAAATTTAATTGATGTTCATTGAATTAAGATTTATTATTAAGATTTTATCTGATAGACAATGACTAAACTGACAATTCATAATACGAAAATTGAAGAAAAAGTTGCACAACAATTCGCTAATGCTTTGAGCAAAAAGACGGTATATTTTACAGAATTTCGTCACTAGTGTTCTATTTGATTATTATATTTAGTGCATCACGTCACTTAATCTTGCGAATAATCAAATCAATCATCACATTCTACAATATTTTATAGATGCTTTAAAAAGCCATGCAGGTATAACATCACTGAATTTCAATGACAATGAAATCAGTGACCAAGGTGTGCAATGTATTGTGGACATTTTGAAAACTCACGAGGTTTAATTTTTGGTTTCTTTACTGTTATGTCATGGTTACTCGCTATTCTATATAGGGAATCACAACATTAAGTCTCGACAATAATCAAATTACTGATCGAGGTGCACAATATCTCTCCGAGTTAATAAAAATAAATAGAGTAATATACTTTTCTTGTGTCTACTAAGTATTATTATCAGTCTGCCATTAATAGACACTTGAAATACTAAGCCTTCGTTCGAATAGAATTGGAAGTCAAGGAGGTCGATTTCTTGTTGATGCACTAAAAGATAATACAGTATGTACCATTTACTCATAAGTTGAGTTTCATATTTATTTCATCTGATTGATTATAGACTTTGAAAAAAATTTATCTTAATAATAATCAATGTACAGCTATTGAAACTGTTTGTATGATACGAAATGGAGATGTAACAAACGATTTGTCTCTGATTTATAATAATTACTTTCTTATAGGCCCCTACTGAAATAAATCTTTTCAACAGACGCATTCAAGATATAGATTTACAGTATATGATTCCTAGTTTGATATATAATACGGTAGATATCGAGTTCTTTCAATTTATTATTCATTTCTTTACTAAAAGACGGTTACTGCTATCGACCTTACTCATAACGAAATTGGCGATATTGGAGCAAAATATCTTGCTGATCTACTTCGAGCAAACTCGGTTGTTGCCTTTGAAAATTTGGCGCATTTAAATGAACTTAAATTTGTTCTTTTCTTTAGAGAATCAGCAAACTCTCGCTTAAATCAAATCGTATAAGTGATGAAGGTGCAAAATATTTAGCTGATGTTCTACAAAATAATACAGTAAATACTTTCCTCTTTTATATGCATCATTAAACAGTACAGTAGTTTTCCATGCAATTTTTCAAACTATTCTTTTTCTCTGTAGACAATATTAGAAATCAATCTAAGCCAAAATGCAAGTGGTTATGCTGCTGTTCTAGGAGCCATTGTCCAATTACGAAATAACAATGTAGACGAATAAGTTTCGATTTCATTCTTTTATTCAATTGTGCTATTTTGTTTCAGAGAGTGACTTATCTGAATCTACAGGATAGTAAAATCGATTATCAAGATATACAACTATTAGTCACAGCTCTGATATATAATCAAGTGATTTCTATTGATTATCAATGTTGTTCATAGATCGGTGATCGTTATTGTTCGCAGACATTGACATCGCTGGATCTTTCACGAAATATGATAGACGACCAAGGAGTAAAATGCTTATGTGATGCACTTCGTAACAATACAGTAAACATCAATGTCTTATGGATATCCATCTTTTCAGTATGAATTTTCTCTAGATATTGACCACTCTCAATCTGGAATATAATAAAATTGGAAGTACAGGAGCACATTGTATATACAATACCTTTCAAAAGAGAAAGGTCATTATCCTACAGTAATCATCTATTATATATATTATAAAATTGTATGTTCAGAAATTCAAAACACTGAGTCTTCATGGTAACAAAAGTGGCTCATGTAAATTTGTTGAAATGTTTCTAACAGCTTCGAAGGATCAAGTATTTATTAATTATATAATACCACCTGCATTACCGTCTATTTTCTCTCATATAGGCACGTACAGAAGTAGATGTTGCCAGGAACGATATTGGAGATGAAGAAGTTCAATTTTTAGTCGATGTTTTGAGAAATGACACGGTGATTAAAGCATTTCAATTTATCTTCGAAATAGTTTTGACAATTATTATGTTTAGACGATTACCAATATAAACCTGGCCAAGTGCAAGATTGGAGTGGAAAGTGCAAAATATCTCAGTGATTGGTTACAAAATAATAAAGTGATTCTTATTGTTTGACTGAATTAATAATATTATTTTCTATTATTATATAACAGACACTAATGACATTGAATCTTCAATCCAATAAAGTTACAGATGAAGGTACAAAGTATCTGGCCAATGGATTACGAAATAATACAGTGATTCTCATTGAGAACTCCCTCTATAACTTAGTTAACATTTATCTTTAATATAGACATTACAGAGACTTGATCTAGGTGAAAACTTTATTGGACCATTAGGAGCTGAATATCTTGCTGATGCTTTGCGTGAAAATACAGTGAGTTTTGTTGTCGTACTATTTTGTATGAATGACTGTCTTTTCGAATACTTCAACAGGCACTCACAGCATTGATTCTTCGAGATAATAGTATATCCGATACAGGACTTGAACATTTAACAAATGCTTTGAATATTAACAAAGTAACAATTAATTTTCTGATAAAATTTTAAAATCTTTCCCTTATGCTCTATATAGACACTGAATATCTTAGATCTTTCCTGGAATAAGATTAAGGCATCAAATCGGCGATATTTGGCTGATATGTTTCAATACAATCAAGTAATACTTAAAAGTTTGTATTAAATTTTTTTTTCATGTTTCTCCTTTTAGAATCTCATGAATGTAGATTTAACGGGAAATGGTCAAGGAGATTGGGCAGTAATAGGAGTCGCTATTGAGATACGAAACAATAAAGTAAATTTGATGGATAATTTTCACCTGATTTTCAATATTCTTTATCTAGAATCTTACTGTGATTAATCTTCGATGCAGTAGACTTGGTGATGAAGGAACTGAGATTTTATGCCAAGCATTGCAAATGAATTGCGTATTAGTCAATTACTTTGACATATTATTTCCATGTTTGTTCTTTGTTCTATAGTCTATTGTCACTCTTGATCTTCGATCAAATGATATTAGCGAGAACGGAGCAAAACTTCTTGCTAAAGTATTACATGGCAATAGGGTACGTCTACATTTGATTTATGATAAGTCTAAATCTAATCAGTTTCATTGTTCATTGAAATAGACATTGACAACAGTGTTATTAGGTAATAATAGAATAGGTGATAATGGAACAAAATATCTTGCCGATGCATTACACAATGGCACAGTAAGCTTATTGCATAGTTTTGCCATTGAATATATCCTATATATAGATATTGAATATATTGGATCTTAGTGGTAACAATATTGGACCTCTAGGGATAGAACAGCTCTCTTTAGTACTTGGCAATAGCAAGGTAGCTTCTTTATGAATAATTTCGTTCATCGTAATTTTATATTGACAATTTAATATAGGCACTAATTAAACTTGATCTTAGTTCAAATGTTATTGGGAATGAAGGAATGCAAATGTTAGCAAATGCATCAAAAAGAACTATAGTTAGTGCTTTACTTTTTTCTAAGATTTCTTTTGTCATTTCAACAATAGAGACTGCAAACACTTGATCTTGGTATCAATAACATTGGAGATGAAGGAGCAAAATGTTTGGCAGATATATTGAAGAATCAAATGGTAATCCAAATTTTTACTAAATTATGATCATAATGTATCTTGTATTCATATAGAAACTCAAAGTATTGGATCTTCGGTCAAATCGAATTACTGATAGAGGAGCAAAATTTCTAGCAATTGCATTAAATCAAAGCGAAGTAAAAATATCTTTCTGTCATCATTCTCAAATAAAATTTCATAATTTGCATAAAGACTCTTAGACGAATTTCATTATGGCAAAATGAAATCACAGACAATGGTGCACAACTTTTGATGAACGAATTACGTCGTAATCATGTATGGACATTATTCTCTTATTAATCTATCATAGTAGTTTTGTTTTTCATTCGTAGCAACCCACTCTGCTTAATATTTATGAGAATCGATTAGAAGCGACCGTAAGTTTCATTTTTGTTTTTCAATTTTTACTTCTACGCTTTCATACAGAACATCGTCCGAAGAGATCCTATGTATCATTCGATTAGAAGCAGAGCATTATTTGAACGAACGAACGAGATTGGTTTGAGGGGATCTCGAAGAGCAACATCGAGAATGTTTGATGATCGTTCCCAAACACAAAATACACAACCAATGAACGAAGAAGACTTTTGGCTTGGTTTATATGGTGCATAATGAGTTACTTTAAAGACATTCTATTTAGTCTTGCAAATAGTCTATATTTGATTTTTACTTAATCCGGAGTACTTAAGTTTATTCTAAATAAGAATTAATATTCTTATAGAAGAACCATCGTCCTTTGACGGTGATGGTGTGAAGGTGAGTGCAAAACTTCAAAACTGATGAAGTCTATACATTTACAAGTTCATAGCGTGCTCTTAAGATTTATAAACTATACTGCGACACATTGATGTCTGTAGATGTTGTGTCTTTTGAAGAATGTGAAACTTTGGTGGGTTATGAAGTATCTTCATAGGTAAGTTACAGGTACAGAGCATGTTTTCGATGTCCGCAAGACACAGGACGCCTGTAAATTGTTAAAATATATGCCACAAGCAAATATTCATAAATGCATTATGCATATTTTTCTCATAACTGCGTTTTGAAGTCAAATAACCAACAGCATAATGTCGAAGTAAATGATCAAGTTTTCTGACATCGTTATATTTTTAGAAAAATTATGCATTTAATAAGAATAGTATAGGTGAAGACAAGCAATAGTAATAATGTTGTTTTGACAACGCTCTAAGCGTTTTACATCGCTAGAATATTTGTTGGAAATGCAGTTGATCTCTTTTCAATCCAGTACCATAGCATTTACATGATCAGCTCTTAATTAATTTGAAAAATATTTCTAAATATCAACTTCAGTTTCATCGCTTTTAAGTCTTTGTCAGTAAAATGAAACGATGAATGAATCTACCAAACGCGAAAATACAACAGTTTTGATTTATTGACAATATACATACTCCGACTTCTTGTGCCACAATCAATCTTCAAAATGTGTTTTTTTCATTACCTATAAAAAACACTGTTGCCTACCGATCAAAGATTCTCTCCTTTTCTCGATGTCTGAGCCTTTTGAAATCAAAATAGAAAATCAGTTGTTCTCATAGAAAAGATCTTTAATGAAACTAACATCTGTTGACGATTTTCGATACACTTGTTCGTTTAAATCACGAGAACTATTGAATGAAGATTATTGTGTGGAATACGTTGGTTCTACTAGTCAGACGGGTGATAAAGCAGGAAATGACAGACATAAAACACTTAGGTTCAAGTTTTGAATAATGGAAATTATATAGATTCAGAATATATAGGTGTGCACGTTGCATATTAGAATGCAGACACAAGAACATCAGTGAAGCGAAAAAAAAATTTAAGAAAAATACAAACGTGTCATTGTCTTTGAAATAGGAAAGAAGAATGTTGCACGCATTTCTATTCAGACCAATCGAAATGTTGCTGCAATCATTAAATGATCGGAAGGATGTGTTGCATCAGGGTAAGATTCACTAGTTGGATAATTTGGCAATCGTAATACATTATCTACTAGAAGATGACCATAAAAAAAAAGATATAGTCCGTAGTAGCACAAAATTCAGGGCTATTTGGAGTGAATGAGAATGCTGTGAAAGGTGATTCAGTTCCATTTTTTTCTACATAGGCACTGCTTAATATATGATTAGCATAGGATCGATGATAAACTTCATAGATTTGTGATTTTGGCAGCTGACGAGAGGCATAACCATGTTCAGTAATTGCACGATAACAGTTATCAGTAGGTTGCATATTGAAATCGCCTGCTAAAATCATGCTATCTCCCCTTGCCAATTCAAACATTAGATCTTTTACCATCGTTGCATGTACCATCATGACATCAGGAGACTTGTACAAACAAGGCATATGATAAGTACCGATACATAAAGGAACTCCATGAATCATAACCCGTATGAATATCAATATATTCTTTTTATTCACAGCAATATCCCAAGAATCAGGCGTTCTACGCGAAAATTTGTCTCTTAAATATTGACGAAATCTACTCCATATTGACAAGCTATCTGTTACTCTCTGACTTGAGCGAGTTCTTATTTTGTTACCGACTTTGATGAATGCGACAGATATAGGTCTCATAGAGTTTGGCATAGCTATGCCAATACCCATATAGCCATTAAATTTTTCACCGTAGAGTTTATGAAACAATTGGTAATTGTGATGACGAAAAAATTCTTTAAATAACAGGTCTGTTGTTCGACAAAGTTCTTGTAAACAAATGATTGTATTTTTGTGACGAGTAATTTCTCGTCGTAATTCATATTGAATCAAGTCTAATCGATAATTGCTATCGATATATTCTGGATGACATTTATAAAAAAATATCCCGGTTCTTCAGCAAGCTTTGGTACTAATAGATTGTAGGATACTATACGAACAGTCATTGGATCGTTTTTCGTATACTTTCTCGGTAAGAATCTAAATTTTTATTCAGAAATACACAAAGGAAAAAAATCTATGTTTTGTCATAAACATAATAAAGGTTACTGTTCAATTTTTAAAAGATTGCGTCAATGCACAGATGGAAGCAAATGCTAGATATCCAAGCATATCTATTTTCTGAATCATTATTATAAAGTTGTGTTATTCTCCCTCATTTTTTTAAGTAGTCACAAATACCAACTAAATAGAGATGAAGAGTATGATATGTATGCGTAGTAGAAAAAAAAGTGACATGTTCTAGTTTTTGACTGTTTTTTATCTGAAAATTCGAACGTGACTTATATTTATTCATATTGGTATAGAAGCATGGAGTTAAGAGACACAGTCATACTCACCTCTAAAAAAGTTTCCTTGAGTCGTGAAAAATTATGTTTTGATTAGATATACCTAGAAAACTTGTATTTTTTTACTGATATGAAATGGATGAATGATTTTACAACGTTTTTTTTCTATTCAGTACCCACTCAAGTAATGCCTACGTTTTGCACGTCTCACTTTCATTCGATTGTGAAAAGAAAAAAAAAGAGGAAGGCTACTTTCTAACTAATAGCAGCATATTTTATGGTTTATTACTTGGAAATATCATTCTTCTGTAAACAAGCGACAAAGTTTATTGATAAAATCGATAATAGTTTAGTGACGTTTGTTTTTATCTCAGCTGTCACATCAAAATGACCCAAAGTTCATCATCATTAGAGGGCTGCAGGGTGCAGGATTTTTATAACCTGTAACCTGCCCTGTAAATTTTTTGTAACCTGATCCTGCCCTGCCCTGTGAATATTTTTGCGGACCCTGCCCTAAAACTTTCTAAT